ACCCTCCTTCAACCAGACGAGGCAGTCGCAAAGGCCAACGCCATTCGCCTCCTACCCACGGATACACACATTGTCATCTTCACGGACGGATCCAGAATTCCGAGCAAGAACACCGCCGCAGCAGCGTGGTGTGCTAACAACAGAACATCAAAATCTGCCGCCTTAGGTCCCGCCCGTTCGCATGGTATTTACCAGGCCGAATATCGAGGGGTCCAATTAGGATTACAGCTCATCCTCGAAATGGCTAAAAACCATACGCGCCGAGCAACACTATTACTCGATAACCAAGGTGTAGTCAAAGACTTAAGCTCTGACTCATCCTCGCTCTCCTCTTTAGACAACCGCAAAAGCACGTTTGACCTCCTCCATACCTTAAGTCACAGTCATCCTCAACTGAAGATCAACATCCGATGGTGTCCTGGACACGCTGGGGTCCCAGGAAACGAAGCTGTTGATAAACTCGCCAACTCCCTCGCCAAGAAGAGCCTACCTAACACTTTCACGAGCTTGCCGAACACGGCGTCCTTTTTATCAGCCATCAAAGAATGGAAGACAACGCAAACCGAAACGTTCAGCAATGACGACATCAAACGTTTAGGACAGAAGCCCAACCCGAAGAAACATTTGGACAGCATCTCACGCCTAATGAAACACGAAATTGCCACGATTTCACAACTCAGATCAGGCCACGCGCCGCTAAACACCTACCTCAACCGCTTCCGCCAACCAGTCGACCCCACCTGTGAGTGCCAGGAGGGTCTTGAAACGGTTGAACATTTCCTCTTTATATGCCATAGATACAAACAACATCGCGCAAGACTCGAGAGAACAGCTCTCGAATTAGGAGTCAGAATGAACAGAACACTTCTGTCCAACACCAAAGCCTTCAAAGCCATCGCAACATATTGCAACTCGACCTGGCGCTTCCAGAACAGATGGGTCTGGGCTACCGTCACTGACGTGCCCCATCCTCCGGACGCTCAATTTCCCCTGGAGTAAAATCCTCCATCTACGTGCCCTCATCGCCTTGAACCATTTGTAAAACCCTATGTACACGCACACCAAACAGCCACTAGTTACCTTTTCCCTGAACAGCCACAGGGTTTTTACCGGTACTAGAAATAAGTGCAGAGTGTTCGATAGTCTTAGGACTGAAAGAACACTTAAAACCATGAAAAAAAAAAAAAAAAAAAAACTTGTAAAAATGAACTGTACTGGAACATGGGAGACACCCTGAAGAGCATTGTGTGATCAATCCTAGATGATTCTCTGAGACTGGTGATTCTGGGATCAGTTGAAGATATTATGAAAGTGGAATTGCTTGGTAGACACAAGGTATATGAATTCTTGGGCAAAAAATAAATGGTTTTGGCTCCAAGATCATAAGCAACATGCAAACAAAAAAATGAAGAAAATTCAGACAAAGTTGGTTTTTTGGCTCCAGGTTTCACAACATACATTTTTGTAAAAAAAAATACATCTAGGCTCCAGAAAGACACTGGGGCTTGGTTGGGGCTACATATTCAGTGTCCTATATTGCGCCATAAACATTGAAAGCTGACTTCAGGATTGAAATTTGGAACCTCACATTCAAATGTTTCTACAATTCTCTCTTTCAGCCTGCTGTCTTGTCACGAGCCTCTGTGAAACAAAAAGACAACACCAAAAAGAACATATCACATGGCTCTGGGATAAGGAGACCAGGATCAAAAGACTAACAAACCAAAGTCAACTAAAAGTGAATGATTCCTGGGCAAATGTGGAAGAAGATCTTCATTGTCGGACAATGAGGGATTTATTGACCATGAACATGATCTCGAGCAAGAAATCTTTTACTGAAATCGAAAGAATCTCAAATAAATTGACTACCTGCTCCAAGCATTTCATTATTTATTTTCCATTGGCTGTCTTTGTAAATTATCAGCATATCCAACTGTGAAGGTCGGATGAATTGTCTTTACATTTTCCGGTTAAGAAATGGACCGCTTAACTTCAGAATTAGTCCTATTAGTATTACTTTCCCTTGCACTATCAGGATTCAGAGGTAACCGATACACTTAACCCACATTACACCATTTGGATGACTGAAGTAAGAGTTCACGCATTTAGGTAGGTTTGTCAGAGGAAGAAGTCAGTTGTGCAATTGACAAATGATTAAAGGTCCAATGAACATTTTTGCGTAGAACCTCAGTCAACGAAAAGAATGAGGAGTGTTTAAAAGAGGTACAGGATAGAGATTCAAGAAGGTGAGAGAGTTAAAGTTTTGACGTATTCTTCAAGATAAACCAAAAGGAATTCATCCAAACATCTCGTTAATCCATCCAAGCATTTCTCGTTGATCCATCCAAGTATTTTTTATTCATCAAGCTCCTTTTCTACATCTCTAAAACAACAAACTTGATTGTCACCACGCTTGGTTCTTCATCATCATCCTACATCATCATCATAGCCAATCCTACTCAAACTTTAATTCGAAACAATCCACTTATCTCTTTCTTAATTGGATTCGAGACCGAGTGATCTTGACCATATACCCTACCTTATCGAGGAAACGGATTTGATTTAACAAAAAATGAATCCAGATCAAGTTAAGACATTTTTGATTTTTTATTCTTTTCAAATTCTTCAAATGCTAATGATGATTTGGATTTGATCGATCGTTCTACAGTCTTCTTCATCAAATTCGAACTTTCAAAATGGTTCATCTTTCACTCATCACACTGACAGTCTGATGTCTAATCCCATCACCTCACCCCCCGAACCATCATTCCCGACCCCAATCGTACCTACACCTCAAGCTCAATCTCATCCAAACGGTTTGTCTTACCTAACCATGCCCATCCTTCCATGATCTCGTCTGACCAAGCCTATCTTGATTCCCTTGAAATTTTGATCAAATCATAGGAAACGGTATGATGATGAATGATGATCAGCTTTATGAATACCTTTATAGTCCAGAAAGATCAGCCCGTCTATCCACCTTATCAGATTTTATAAAATCTCAACTAAACCAATCAAATCTTATCGACTCCATTCAAAACAATCCATCAAAAGGGAAATTTTATGAAGCTTGGGCGAGGTCGCATTCACATCTGTCTAATCCAAATCAAGAATCTCAAAATGATCTATCTGGTATCGGTTCTTCTGATCATTTACCTTTGATGGAAATCGATCAAACTCATTCTTCTGAACCGATTCAAGATTCTGATTTGGCTAAAATGTTGTATGATGTTCCAAATGGAAATCAGTTTGCTCAAGTTGGTGTGGATGTTGAAATGACAGAAAGTGAAATGCATTCAGGATAACCTTTCCTTCGTCTTCTTGATTCTTGCTTCTTTCTAGTTGTATTCTTGTATTCTTGTTGTTGTCGTCGTTTTTTGTACTGTTGAAACGAGCTAGCTTGCAGTTCTGAAGTGATTTCTTTTTGTAATTCGAAAAGCTTGGTTTCCTGAACCAAAGTTGAAATAAGATGGATCAAGCTTCATAGAAAGTTGAATGATAAAGGACTTCAACCTTTGATTCCAGACTACTACTTGAAGAAAACAAATTCGATTAGAAGTTCTTGGTTCAATCTGAACCCTTTCGAATGAGTCTAACAGCCCCCACTAAGCACTCTGACTGTAATCGTACCTTGAACTTTCAAAATAACCTGCAATCACTCTACTACATCTCACACAGCATTGGATGTAAGTTTCCTTCTTGAGGAAAAGATCGTGGTCGTATCTAAAACACAACTTGCTTTCAATTCATAGATCAACTCGAAAGATAGCAAATCAGATTCCAAAAATACATGAATGTTGTGCACACCTCTCAACAGTCCAAAATGCCTGCCAAAAGTGTACCAAACTCTTCTCCCTCTTTCAAATCACGCTATTTTCTCAAATAAGATCCTTCATGACCTATATCCTAATCCAACCAATAAAGATATCCTCACTTCTCTCTAATCTTTCCTATGGCTTGAAAACTATATCAAAGGGTTGTACGGCCTTTAATGTCCGCAAACGGATCATCGCAAAATTCTACGGACCCTTTCTCTACCAAGTTAACTTGGGTATTTCTAGCTGGAAAGCTTGCTATGTTGAGCCGATTGTTCAACTTTGCTAGAGCCTGATTGGGAAATCAAAATTGACAAGTGTCTGTTCATAGCATCAATCAGCCACGAAGTAGAAGATCAAAGTTCAACGTGAGCTGAGGTTGCGATCAACCTATTTTGATCGTTCTTCTTGTTCTTTTCATGACTCGTTGGACTCTTTCGGCTCAAGTAGAGCAGGTCGTTGCGCGTTTCTTCTAGTTACTAACTTCGAAGTTTGGGTATTCACTACTACCCCTTGATTTATTTTGTGAACATGAATTACAAAGTTGGAAAACTTGATGCGTGAAAATGTTCTTCGCAAGATACGAACATTTTAGACCATGGGGTTCTCTCAGTGCTTTCCAGGATACGACACTGTTGCGACTATGTACATGTCCGGCACTTCTTGAAACTCAAGGGTTTCTGTTTTTGGATGGGATACAAGTCTCTATAGATGGCTCAATACGGATTGTTGCGTTTGACCTCAAGTATATCTGGATGCTCGAGTCTTGCGCTAGTAATGCGATCTGTCTTTGAGAAAAGCCGTCCAATTCTTCCTTACCTCCTTCAATGATGTCTAAGTCTTTTCATCTCGAGAGTTGAACTTTTAAAACCTGCTGGCCGTCATTTCGAGTGATATTCTTCTTCCAATTACTGGTGCGTCAAAAATTGACTCTTCTCATCACGCCATCATAGAACTGATCATGCGTAATGAACTCACACATTAACCATACAAAGCTTTCTCTCTATTCATCCTTCATGCAAATTTCATAGATTGTTGACGTTCGTTTCACAAACACCTACACCTCTTTACCTCTTCTGGTTGAACAAGATCATCAATTCTTGAATAGTCAGTCACTCTTCTGCGTTTTCATCCTTTTCTCATCCTAATTTGTTTTACTTCACTTTGTCCAGGTCAAGAACATCTATGAAAAAGGACATGAAGTCATCAGCTTTACTTTACGGATTTCTCTTTGGAATGATATCTCAAATCTCGGCAGCAATACTAAGGGTAGCCGAACCAAGTGCACTTTCAAAAGGTGCTCTTCATAGTACTGTAGGCGAATCTTCTAGTCCAGTACATTGGTCATCTTCATTCACAGAGATGCAGGAGAGAATAGCAGAAGGCAAAAGACTTGCATCACTACCACCATCGAAACTTTTAGACGCAAAATCTCCTCTATCACCCAAGAACGAAAAATCACTTTTAGGTACAAAAGATTCACTAGACCCTTCTAAATCAAAACTCTCACCTACTCAAGCTCCTGCTCCTGCTCCCGTTTCGACCCAACCTCAACATCTCGATGTGAATTCTGAACAATATAAGATTATGAAATTGGCTCATGGAAGGTACTTGAAGGGAGGATCTCATGGAGGAAGTCAAGGAACTGAGACTCAGACTCATGGCTTAGCCTTTTGGACAGCTGTCTCGGGTCATAATGCAGCTCCTAATGCACCTTTCTCTACAAAGTTAACTTGGATCTTTTTGGCTGGAAATCTGGCTCTCTTGAGAAGATTGTTTGATCTAGCGAGGTTTTGATGGTCCTTGATATTATGATATCAAGATTGGATATATGTATTACCATCAAATATCAAAAGTCACTTGTTTTAACTCATTGGCTTGTATTATATACATTACAGACTTTAAACCCACAAAACTCATTTTGCTTTGCAAAACGCATGTCACGTATTTTAGCTTTACATTGACCAAGAACCCAGGTTCGGCTTCAAGGTTTTTTAACCTTCCAGTCTTTTGATTTCATTTGTCCCTGCTATGTATTTTGATTGGTTGAATAATCCGGAAGCAATTCAATCATGTTGAGACATGATGGGTCCATGAGTGTCAAGGTCTGCATTGTTCATAAATGATTTATCTGGTATTGGTTCTTCTGGTCATTTACCTTTGATGGAAATCGATCAAACTCATTCTTCTGAACCGATTCAAGATTCTGATTTGGCTAAAATGTTGTATGATGTTCCAAATGGAAATCAGTTTGCTCAAGTTGGTGTGGATGTTGAAATGACAGAAAGTGAAATGCATTCAGGATAACCTTTCCTTCGTCTTCTTGATTCTTGCTTCTTTCTAGTTGTACTTTTTGTATTCTTTTTGTTGTTGTCGTTTTTTGTACTGTTGAAACGAGCTAGCTTGCAGTTCTGAACTTATCTCTTTTTGCAATATGACAAGCTTGGTTTCCTGAACCAAAGTTGAAATAAGATGGATTGGGTGTCATAGTTAGATGGATGAATGAATCTTACTTAACTTTTTAAGTGAACCAAATCATCTTTGTTAATTATTTTCTATGGCTCATATCATCAGTAGAAGTGATGTGATATAACAAATGATCTCATGCGCCATATTTTGAGAAAAACACTGGTGCGCCAAGATGCGAGTTCATCTACCGTGTATGTAGGATCCTGATCAACTTGATTTGAAGTTCTTGGTTCGATCTGAACATTTCCGAATCAGCTTAACAGCCCCATAATTCCTTTTTGAAGAAGAAATCGTAGTCGCATACAAAACACAACTTGCTTTCAATTCATGGATCCACTCGAACGATAGCAAATCAGATTCCGAAAATACACGAATGTCATGCACACCTCTCAACATCTCAACAGCCCAAAATACTTGCCAGAAATACACCAAACTCTCGGCCCTCTTTCAAATCATGCTCTTTTCTCAAAACAAGATCCTTCATAGTATTTGACCAAGATCCTAATCCAACCAACAAAGGCATCCTCACTTCTCTCTAATCTCTCATATGGCTTGAAACCCAAACCAAACCATTCTTGGTTAAAAATGACCATCAAGTTAGGTTTCAAAGTCTAAAACAATACTAACTAAATTCTTTGTAAAAGATATTTAAAAATGAGTAGAGATGCACAACCCAAGATCCAAGTAACAAAAAAAAAGTAAACGTATACAAACCCTCCCCCCAAAAATGATACACCAATCTTCTTCTTCTCGCAATGATGTTCCTTCTAATCAAAAACCCATTTAAACTACATCCAAAATCCTTCTTTGACTCAACTTACGAATCTTTAAAACCTTTTCAATCAATCCCATCACATCTTTCACCAACACAATCAATGCACCTCCCAATGTATTTCTCCACCAAATCGGATCTTCAATGATTCCATTCTTATACTGATTCAAGATACCTTCATTAGTTCTCCAATCTGAGATTCCAACCAGTTGATGATTAGATGGATTCCAGAATCTTAATCCTGTGATCCTACTAATAGTAGTCCCAATAGATGACGTTAATCTATACCATATTGAACCGGTTGATGGAGCACTAAAATACGAATGATGTAAGATACTACGGATCCCTAGTACTGTACGTAGCCATGGTAAATGTTTAGAAATCAAAAGTAACATGTTTCCAGCCATAGAAGCTGCACCAGGTAAGAGTAAAGCTTCCATGCCCATCCGGATCGCTCCTCGTAAAGTAGTATAATCCAAAACCACTTCTGCACCCAATTGACCACGACCACCATCATTAGCTGCAGCAAGTGGATTGAATCTTTGATCTTCTGGTCCGTTTGCTTCTTCAGCCTGACGTCCTACTGCATTAGGTACCAAAGCTGGTCGAGGTCCACCATCCAGTCCTAATCCGCTAGGAAACCCATTAGCAGGATCCATGAACTCTAAAGACTTATACTCATGTGCAAGTACAACATAAGTGATCCTAGACCAAATCCAATTCCAACCGATCCTAGCCCAAGGTATCAAACAAAGCGTCAGAGCCGGACCTGGAGGAAAGACTGAATCTAATTTCACAAATTGAACTTGATTTGAGGTTGAATCTTGTGAATCATATCCAGAAGGTGCCAAGTTTGATAAGACTAAAGAGATCGGTAAGAATGGAATGATAGAATCTAACTGAGTGGTTCGACTTAATAATAAGATCGGTCCTACTAAACTTAATTGAAAGAGTTTGGAAAAACTAAAGTGACCAGAAGAGTTGACGATCCAATTATTCCATCTAGCTTGACCGAGAAAACATCGAGATGCCCAAAGCCCATAAGAAGAGGTTGTGATACTAAAGCCGAGTAAGACGCAGCCTAAAGCAGACCAACTGACAACTTTATCGTATGGTCTTTTGAACGAATCGATGATCGTCAGAAGGTGTGAAGAAGGTTGCGCTAGATGATAAGTAGCTGCGCATTGTGGACAAGTGACAGGAGTTGATAGACGCGATGCCACTGAAGTTGTAGGAGAGTGAGTAAGCTGATAAGTAGTTACCCATGTAAGCAAACACTGTCACAACAAAAACCAATGGTCTATTAACAATCTTGACTAGTTGAACAAGAGATAAAGAAAAGGAGTTGCACTAACACTTTCGTGAGCTACCAATGAACATCTACAAGGCTTTACCCACTTTCTCTTTTTCTGAAGTTGAAGTGAGGCAGAAGTGGTGAGAACAGGGTAACCTAGATCGGATTCCAGGCTCTCAGGTTCTTCATCATCGTAACAAATCCAACACTTTCTTGGCTCATCGAGATCAACTTTGGGTCTCGAGATAGGTTCTGATGGTCTAGGACGTGAACGAGATTGATTTGGAAGTGACGAAGGATGAGAATGACGTCCGGTAGTTCCTCTCATCATCAATCGAGGATGAGGTTCGTTAACATAATTGTCTCTTAGATATGATCCAGGGATGTGATGATGGTTTTCTTCATGATTGATAGGATGTGAATCGGGTGGAAGTTCATCAGAGTAAGATTCCACATGATTTGGAAAGTTATCATAGAATGAGGAATGAGAATGAGAATGAGAATCGGTAGTTGGTTCTTGAGGATTAGTATTAGAAGTTGATGGTTTTGAAATTGAACTTGGAATCGAATTTGACATTCTTGATGATTGAAGTCTTGATTTCTTCTCAGCTTCAATTCAATTCACCACTTCTCTCTCAATCAACCCTCTCATGGATCCGAGTACATAGATCCGATTAGTCCCGATCAGAGTCCGGCCATGATACCAATACCCCGAGACTTGATCTGACTCCCATCGAACTTCTCAAGTGACTCTCATGAAGCAATTTGTCAGAGTATGATAATTCAAGAAATTTCTAGATGAAACTCAAAGCTTCTTACTCAATCCTAGCTATCTCCTCCATGTGGTTTCTGTTCTTCACTTTCAACTCACAAGCCTATGGAATCTTAAATCATCGAAAATCAATCTCGCAAAATACATTTCTCAACCAACACATCTTCCTTCAAGTCCGTCTCCTTTACCCGAGAATTTATAAAAAGTAAAAAAAATGGAAAACGTTTGATCAAGATTTAATGCTGATGTCAATTCCTTGTTATGAATTATCTTGATGGGATTGGTTCAATAGAGGTTTATCATTCCAGTTATGTCATCAAACGGTCTTGGATCCAATGAGCCTCAACCACAAACCGAGTCTGAGAAGCAAGAACCTTTATTATTGATGGATGTACCTGCAGAAAGTTTAGAAAAAGAAAAAACTCATTCTTTGGGTGTAGGACAATCAGCAGTTGCATTTGATCATCTGGGTCCAATGGTCATTAACACGGATGGGGTAAATTTTATGATTTGTTTTTTTGCATTGAAAGAATTGATTATTATAAAGTTAACTAATGTTTGAAACTTTTTTCTTGTGTTTTGATGGACATAGAGTATTTCTAGAATCAGTAATTGGGATCAATTATCTGATATAGAAAAAACTCGGACTTCAAGATTAGTCATTCAAAGAAATGCTCAACGACTTACTCGACTTAGGGAGAAAGAATCGAATGATGTAAACCAAATTGAACAACAATCAACTTCGGCTCATCTGGAACTTTGATCATCATTGTTTGAAGGCTTTCCGGAGCTCTGACAATCATCTGTGCCTGTGTATCCCAATTTTCATTCTGATCGGATCATAAGGATTTTTCATGTTTGTTTCGTTTCTTTGGGGATTGTGACTTTCGAGCTCATATGTCAGAGTTTCTCTAGAAATGATACAGCCATAACCGCATCAGTCTACCTCACCGGATGTTCGGGTCCTAGACCCATATATTTTACAAGCGAATTCGCTCAATGGTCAATGGTCTTCCAGACACAATGTAGCTCTAGTACAAGTGTCATAAGATTCAACCGGTGAGCCATGCAGGGCTTGACACTCATGGACCCATCATGTCTCAACATGATTGAATTGCTTCCGGATTATTCAACCAATCAAAATACATAGCAGGCACAAATGAAATCAGAAGACTAGAGGTTTAAAAACGCTTTGCAAGCTGAGCCTGGGTTCTTGGTCAATGTAAAGCTGAAATATGTGACATGTGTTTTGCAAAGCAAGATGAGTTTTGAATGAGTTAAAACAAGTGACTTCTGATATATGATGGAAATGGGAACGTTAAACTCACTCCTTGTTTGGTACGCAAAACCAAACAACACGTGTTTGGTGCGAAGCCCAAGGCCTAAGCCAAGGGAATAAAATTACTTGAATATAAAAACACGCACCCTACGGGGTGGCTAGCGGACACTAAGAATGTGACAAATCTGGCCTGACAAAAAATGAAATACACACAAAATAGGAGGAATCGTCTGCGACTGAGGAGCAAACTCCCACCACAGATCATCATCAATTTCATTCTACCAAGCCCTATAACCTCTCCTAGCAAAATCACCATGCCGTCGAAACGCCCCCAGGGCATCGACGAAGATAGTTCACCCCCCCCTCCCAAAAATCCGAAGCCGAACAAAGAACTAACGAACCCGGACGCCATGCAAGGCATATTAACCTCTCTAGCCACAAATAACTCGAACTCAAATGATAACCTACTCCAAACGGTGATCCAAATGATGTCAATTCTTATGGACACAATCAAACAGCTCAATGAAAAGATCGACCGACTCGAAGCAGAAAGAAACAAAGAAGCTCAGGTAGTCTCACGTACGAACGAACAACCGATTGCAGCCAAACTCCAAGCCTGGTCCAAACCAAACCCGAAGATCATCCAACGCCCGACCAATGTGAACGTACCTAAACAACCACCAAAAAACGCCGAAATCAATCAATTCAAAGTAGCAACTTTAATCATGCACAAAAACCCAAATTCGGAGCCTTTTAAAGGAATGACAAACACCGAAATAGTCAAACGTATCAACACGGCCTTAGCATCAATAGACGCTGAAATTAATCAAAACCCGGTTAAAATTCTGAGTGCAACACTACTTAAATCAGGAGATGTCTTAATGTACATGGAAAATAGACTTATAAAAACCTGGCTCCTCGAGAATAAACACAAATGGACAAAGCTCGCCCATAAGGATTTTGAAACTACTCAAACTCGCTACCCAGTCTTGTTCAATTATGTACCGGCAGATATCAAAGTTGAAGACCCAAGCTTCGTAACTAGATTATGTGAACAAAACAACATACCCCACGACGCGATACATTCGGCGAGATGGATTAAAAATCCAGAAGACACCAAGAAAACTCATGGCTCAATCGTTATCAACATGCTAGACCGACAACTATCTCAAAAACTAGAAAAAGGAGGCCTATTCATTGATTTCAACCGTATCAAGAGTAAGACTTACATTCAAGGTCCTACAATGTGTTTTAATTGTCTAGACTTGAATCATGTACAATCACAATGCAAATTCATCGCTCACTGCACCAAATGTGGAGATGCTCATAACACAAAAGAGTGCGCCAACAATGATGTGGCCCAAAACTGTGCCCGATGTGTCAACTTTGACTCACAAAAAACAAATGAAAAAATTGACAGATTCCTCCCCAAATATGCACACTCACCTAAAAGCCTTACCTGCCCTTTACGTAAAACTCAATTTCAAATTCCCCACCCACAGATAATCAAAGATGAGTCTTAGGTCCCATCAAGAAGCAACAAACAATACTCCTCCCCAACCTCCAACCTACACTGACGATTCAACAATCAACGAAATATACCCTGACATCCCCCTAATGCTCGATAAAATCTCAATTTTCCATTTCAACTGTCACAAATCTCAAGCAATCACGCACGAAGCCCTAACTCAAACTCAATACTCAATCCTAGCCCTTCAAGAACCGTGGTTCAACCCACTAAACCTATCTTTCCCTACCCACAACGCATGGCACTGTATCACAGCCTACGACTATACCCCTCAATCATGGGAAGAAAGACCCCATGTATGCATATACATCTCTAAACTAATTCCCACATCTCAAATATCGATTCTCCCAAGCAAATCCGACATCATCCTCAGTATAGAACTTAAAGACCCAGAGAACTCTCAGACAAAACTACGATTAATCTCCTGGTACAACCCACCAGGATCACTCAGAGGCATCACAACACTCGAATACTGGCTGCACAAAAATCACAACAGAAGAACACCCACTATCATCACGACAGACTCAAATCTACACCATCAAATCTGGAACCCCCCGGATTATCAAAGAACGGACAAAATGGCCAAAAAACTTGTACACATATGCGGCAACGCAGGCTTCAATTTGTCTTCCCCAAAAGGGATCCCGACAAGATACTCCACCGGGACAAAACCTACCGCCATTGACTTAGTCTGGTCAAGTTGGAACCTCAAAAATAGACTCATCAGCTGTGAAGTTCTGAAAGAAGGCCTAGGCTTGGACCATCTACCCGTAGCTACCGTTCTTGATCTCGGACTCATCCCTCCTACCCCAACACACATAGCATTGAAACTAACTGACATAGACATTTCCTCCTTCCATGAGAAAATAACAGGTGCACTACCCCAACTCCCACCAGATTATGCCTCTCCCAACGATATAAATCAGGGGGTCAATGTCCTGACCAATATCATCACAAATGCAGCAAATGCTCAAGGTAAAACAGTTAAAACGATACCTAACAAGCATAAGGCCTGGTGGGACGCCGAAACCCTCAACCCGATCCTTAAATCCCGGAACCGCGCTAGGAGATGGATGATTCTCTCAAACTCACCCGAAGCTCACACTTGCTACAATGACTGGCAAAACTACTTCAGATCTCAAGTACTCAAAGCGAAAGCTACGCATTGGAAGAAATTCCTTGCAACATGTTCAGGTAACACCACATTCAAAGCATTCAGATACGCAAAACCAACCTCATCTAGTGAAGTAGCCCCACTCAGAAACGCGGATGGAACTACGGCTTCGAATAAACACCAACAAGCTGAGCTTTTATTCAAAGGTACCTCAGTAGCCCACATTGACGCAGACCTTTTGGATATCCCACGAGACACAACCATACCACAACCATACAACCACCACTTCCCCACCCTCGAGCCAAAAGAACTCAGACGTATAATTGAAAACCTACCAAACAAAAAAGCCAACGGCGGGGACAAACTGTCCAATGAACTTTTAAAACCTGCCTTACCAGCAACCGAAGTAGAAATCTGTAGATTGTTTAACGCGTGCTTCAGGTTAGCACATTTCCCGGAAACTTGGAGAACAGCTATTACAATTATTATACGAAAAGCGGGCAAAGACGATTACTCTGCCCCTAATTCCTACCGCCCCATAGCATTACTTAGCTGCTTAGGAAAAACATTGGAGAAAGTCATAACATCCTGTCTAACTTTTTGGGCCAAAAACTTCAACATCATATCACCAAACCATATGGGAGGCCGACGTCAACACAGCACCGACGATGCCCTGTTAATCCTCATGTCTTGGATAAAGGAAAAATGGCGTAACAAAGAAGTGGTCTCCGCTCTATTCTTAGACGTCAAATCAGCCTATCCCTCGATTCACCGAGAAAGACTTTGGCACATCCTTCGTACCAAAGACTGCCCAACCTACCTACTACAACTTATACAAGGATTTCTAACAGAGAGAACAACTAATCTGTGAATCCAGGATTTCCTTTCTGAGAGTTTCAGCATAGATAATGGATTACCCCAAGGATCTCCACTATCAGTCATTCTCTATGTTATATACAATTCAGAACTATTAGGAATGAATTCACCCTCACCAAACTCTCAAGACATTTCCATCGGCTTTATTGATGATGTTGTCCACGTAGTTGCATCAAAAGACCTCGAAACGAACATAATCAAACTCAATAGCCACGCTAATAAGTCACTAGAGTGGGCCAGAAGACATGGGGCAATCTTTGATAAAAAGAAAGCCCAACTTCTACATTTTACCACAAAGAGGAATCCGAGTAATCCTAACCTTCTCTTCGGAGACATCCTACTTAAACCTAAGAAAGAAGTGAAATGGTTAGGTTTATGGCTAGATCCTAAACTCAGCTTTAATAGCCATATCCAACATGTTAAGAAGACCGGCGACTTTACCCTTCAACAATTTAAAAGAATAAACAATTGTTACTCAGGACTATCTATGAAGGAAATCAAAAAACTAATCAAATCAGTCCTGATACCGAGAATTCTATATGGTAGTATTGCATGGTTTACAAATAAAACATACAAGAAAGCAAACAAGGTCCTAAACATCATTCAAAACGAAGCTAACAGGATCGCTCTAGGAGCCTTAAAAGGTACTTCAAATGAATTAGTTCAACACAACATATACATGAACTCATTCAGCAGAATCGCAACAAACAAACACCATCAATTTGTCCTCAAACGTCTCACTGCTCAGGACTCTCACCCAACAAGAAAATTCATCAAATCCGAACTAAGGTCAAACCAGCAAAAACACCCGGGCCCGATACAAGACCTAATCGATCTACAGAGCCTAAAACAAATTGCTAAAGAGGAAATCAAGACCATCTTCCCATTCCCAATAGCTCCTTGGGCAAGAAGTTTTGGAGAAGCAATCAACTTAGATCTTTCAAAAGAAGAAACGCTAAAATTATTACCCGACCAAATCAAATCAGAGGAAAACTGAAACGCGATCATAATCTTCACAGATGGATCGGTCAAACAAACGGGTGGTGGTGCAGCTGCAGTCTCAAGCACCTTTAGCCGAGCACAAGCAGTGACATATGCTGATAACTTCTCCAACCACGAGATGGAACTCCTAGGCATACTCCTAGCGACTGAACTAGCTAATGATCTCATTTCCAAACAGCGTATCCCACAAAACAGATTAGCCATCTTCAGTGATAACCAAGGGGCACTTAATCTAATCCAAGACATACCCCGACCAACCACAGGACAACATCTTATTATCAAAATTAGATCACAACTAATGAGAATCTCAGAGACAACTGAAATATGCTTCTATTGGACCCCTGGTCATAAAGGTATAGAATTAAATGAACTAGCTGATGAACTAGCAGGTACAACAGCCAAAAATCAACACGAGGCAATGCTACTCCCATCAAGCTGGGGCAGTTTGAAACGACGCACAAAAGACAAATACAACATAAACCAACTCATACTTACCCCAGGTAAAAAACCCTTCAAAACAAAACCTAAACTGATCTCTGAGGCCTTAGAAAAGCTAGAAAAGGGCCATACTGCAGCGATATTCCAACTCAGAGCAAATTTCAGCCCCCTCAATGACCATCTTTTCAAACGCAACCTATCAACATCTCCACTATGTGAAACCTGTAAGATAAAAGAAAATACTCATCATTTCCTTCTGTATTGTAGGCGATATTCAAAAGCTCGAAAGAAATTTAGAAACAAACTCAAAAAAGAAGGCATTAACACTAACTGGAATAATGTCACAAAATTGCTTGATTCACCCAAAGTTTTCCCTTTCTTAGGCAATTTCATCTTAGATACTCAAAGATTCACTCATTTTAAATCCTATTTACAGGACCTAAACCAAGGAGATCAGCCGCGGAGCAAGAGACGAAGTTGACATTACGTACCTAAAGGTTTTGATTCTTTTTCCCCACTTACACCAATGATCTGTTCAATCCCAATTAAAGGGTTCGGCTAGGGACTCCCTCCGAGACAGTTTCAAAACTTTTCTTAGCTCAGACAACAACTTGACTGGTCCATCCAATAACTCGGTACGGTTCATCACTGTTACCCCACGCTCTTGCAACTCTCTTTCTCCCCCGTGACTCCGGTTGATTCTAGGATAGGGGGTTAGGGAGGGGGATCAAATGCCTGCCCAGCGCTGTTGCGAAACCACAAGAAGCTCGAGTCTAAATGACTCCATACTTACACTGAATTCCGAAAGGGTGTGCTTGCACAAAGGTGTTTATGGAGGGTCACCGCTTCCTTCGGGTGGGCTAAATGCCTAAAGGTGATTTCAAACTTCAGACTGAACAAATATAATTGTTCAAAAAAAAAAAAAAAACTTTGACAAACGATCCTAAATCCTAAGGGATGGAAACATATAAAAATAATTCTAACTTTAAGAAAGAATTTAAAAAAAAAAAAAGTTATCTAACTGAACGGTCAAAATGTCAACGAAATCTCTTGCTCCGACTAGATGGCCGACTCTCCAGTATAAAATAGTCCTTCCCTTAATTAACTTGTTTAGAAAGTGTTGTATGCAATAAATGCCAAGTAGCACTAAAAAAAAAAAAAAAAAAAAAAAAATACACACAAAATAAACATAACCAAAACAAATCCACTCATAACTCACGATATCTCAAGAGGAGAACATTCAGTCTCTTGAATTGGTAGTCACTTTACAATCTGTAGTTCATTTAAATCTATTTATACTCAACCCTTCATAGCTCTCATCTTTATGGTATTGTACAAGTAGTGGTGTGCCCTAGGCAAACCTGAAGAGTTCACTAAGAGGATTCTACTAGGCTTCTTGGTTACCACCATTTCAAACCCTACACGTATTAAAGGGTACATCCTGGATCACAACCCACTTTGTGGGAGGGTGTATTCTTACGGGAGGTGGGTGGGAGCAAAAAAGGAGAGAAGTCTTTGAGACCTGAAAAACGTGAGATCTATGAGTGACTGATGAGAAGAGAAAAATCCTGATACGGGTGTGGGAAGATTCTGAGGTGAGAATTTCTCCGCGTATGGAGAGGGAGGAAAAAGTTTTCCTTGCAGAACTTTTCTGCAACATTTTTCCTGTCTGTGTTGAGGGAAACCATCCCGTTCCTGGGATAATCTCCCCATTCTCCCGCTACCCAATATCATACCTGTATTGTGGAAAAGGGAGGTACCGTCGTGCCTTTGGGCACCACCAATCATGAATAATCATAAAATCAAATGACATATAACTAATAACTATAAATCATCACATATTTGAACCATACACACTTATATTTTAAATGATAACTTCAACCTTCCTCCTTTTTTTCTTTAAAAAACAACTATAACCTATAATATAATGATAACCTTCTTCTGACCAAAGGGATGGGAGGGTGGGGATAAAAAATATTACTCAAACAAGGATGAGTTTAATGGACTAAGATGAATAAAGAGAATTTGAAGATTTGTGAACTTTGACAATGGTGAACACAATGGGAAGGTGAACACAATGGGAAGTAGAAGATAACGGTCAACAGCTTGTATGTCATGATGGTAAATCTAGATAAGATATGGAGAAGACCTACCCGTCAGTTTACATGACCACATGTAATGTAATCCAATCTTTTCCCATTCCACTGCGTTGATAACAAGTTACCAACCTCGAGAAATGGGAACGTTAAACTCACTCCTTGTTTGGTACGCAAAACCAAACAACACGTGTTTGGTGCAAAGCCAAAGGCCTAAGCCAAGGGAATAAAATTACTTGAATATAAAAACACACACCCTGTCCAACCTGCCTAACAGCGTACAAAAAGAGTGGTGAAGTAGGAGAGTGTGGTGAATTAGTAAAACAAAACAATTATGTCAGTTATGAAATTCAAAACAATTTTTTATGTAAAATAGAAACTAGAAAGACATTCAAATTAGATGTGATAATCTCTAACCATGATCAATTAATCAACAGGTCAAAAAGCCATTAACCAATAGAAGCACTATGTGCATTAACCAAATAATAAGAAAGGCAATACGCCATGAACCTGTCATCCCACAAACTTACTTATTTAAAATATACTTTATAACCGACATGAGACAAACACCCAATCACATGGTTCTGATTCTCCAGAAGGCGTAAAACATAGATGAGGAAAGCGTCCGAAGACCAACAACCAGCACTTTTGATTTAGTCCATTGTAGCTCCTGCTTGAGCTAAAGCAGTAGCCCCTCCGGATTGTAATGAATGACCTGAATTTTTTTTATCAAAATATAAATGGAATTGTTGCAAGAACCAAGACCGAGTTGGAATAAGACCTTGATGAGTAATGAAAAGTTCTGGAGAAAAAACAAAATTTGCATCCCTTGACCGTAAATAGGCTTTGATTAACCAAATAGGACATGCTGAGGTGTTCTCAAAGTATTGAATGATAACTGGAGTGCCAATAAATTTTTTGTTGCCTTTAGAATACGGCAAATGATATTGAACAAATTTTTTGCAAGCTGAAAATTGCAGAGTACATGGTAGTAGAACTTTCCTTTCATTGAAAAGCTTCTCACACAAGGACCGCCAGATCCCCCCTCAACGTCGAGGGGGGTTGAAAGTGTTGCAAAAGTTTCTAATCCCACCTGCCTTTGTGTGTCCTAACCTGTGCTAGCACTAGCCCATGCTTAGTTGTACATTTCATGATCAGTGAGCTCGATCATCTTGAGCTCTCAGCTTGGGCTGAACTCCTCATTCAACAAACTTCCGCTCAGAAAACTGTATGAGCCTATCTGGAAAACTCTACTTTGATGTTTCACGGGGGAAAATGTCAACAATATACTGCCAAGAAACCATATGTTTTGTCTCTCCAAGTATGTCCCCTACTTTATTTACCTTTCATCGACAAATCAAAACTTTTCCCGTCGGGGCAATTTTGAGGCCTACATGGCGGGAGATATTCAAGTTTCCAACCTAGATTCACTCTTTAAGGCAAGTCTGATCAACACTCTTCTCCTTTTCACTTCTTGCCATGCTGCCATACATCAGAATGCTCACAATGTTTTCTCAATGCTTGGGTGCTTGTCTTTCAGTCAATGGGATTTGAATTTTTATATTTGCAGATGTTCATTGTCAACCGTTCAAATCTCTCTGAAATGTCAATGGCTACTTCATCGATCTTTTCCGTCATCAACACCCTTATAAACTCTTGCTTTATCAATTTGCTCTCTAACTCAATCTCAAATATCTCAGCTCACTATGATATCTCCAATGAGATGTTTGAAGCCTTTCTCTCAAAAGACATGACGTACTCCTGCGGTTATTTTACTGAGCAACTTGGTGGACTTGTTGGCGATCTACAGCCGCACACCTCAACACTTTCAAAGCAAAATAATCAAGACACCCAGGACTCTCTTGAAGAAGCCCAGTATGCACAACTTGACTTGATCATTTGTAAAGCAAACATTGGTCCTACAGATCACGTCCTCGACATAGGTTCAGGAACCAAGAAGTAGATTTCATCCGTAAATGGATCTTTCCAGGTGGAATACTTCCTACTGTTACCTTTATGGCTGATGCAATTACCAAAGGATCCAAAAAACAATTGATCATTGACTCAATTGGAAATAGCGGACCTTGTATGTCTCCCTCCTTTCATGTATATCTAGTCCTATCCACCTGTTGCTTAACTCTGCACCCATGATGTCTCCAGATTACGCATGCACACTACGCGAATGGCAACATAGATTTGAATTGAACTTTGAATCCCTTATCATCCCGAGCTTGATATCAAGCTACCCAGACCTCGAAGGTCCTCCTGAACAAATTGAAGTCTTCCGACGTAAATGGCTATGTGAGTGTCCTCTTACCCGTCGTCCTAAAGCTGTATGCTGAGCCAATGTCCGTGTATTGTGGCTTCTATCACCCATTTAGATTACTTTGCAAAGACTTCCTTGTCTTTGCTGGCATCAACGCGGACATGACAACAACCCGCAAAATTCTAGCAAATCAGGGTATTAATACGTTTGGTAGATTATTAGATCGCAAGACTTACCAACTTTGAAAACCTTCGCAGTATGGGCATTCCTTTTGCTCACGCCGACAACATCTTTAAGGCAGTCCCTGAATATAACATTCACCTCAAAAACTCAGGTGCTCAATCTGGAGGTTCATGATTTCAACTCACTTTGAAATCTGCTGTTTTTATTTTGAAATGCTGTGATTGGTTATCTCCCCCAAAAATATTTGTTGTTATCGCCTGTTTATTTCTTTTCTTGCAAATATGGTCATTTAACCTTTTCTCCAAGTTATATTGCCGCTTTGGATGGTTCTATTGATATTTCTCAAGTTGTGATCAATGCTTTTGTCAACGCTTCAGTCTGCCTTTGTGTGTGTGATTTTCTTGACTTCTTTTGTGCCTTACCAAATTAAAAACTCAAGTTTCTTGACGTGATTTCATGAAATCACAAGTTTTTTTTGCCTTACCCAAAAAGAACATGTGAAAATTTTTCAAGTTCGTTTTTGCCTTCCCCAACCAAAAAAAAAAGAATTTTTGACCTCATGAAAATAAATCCCAAGTTTTTTTTGGCCTTACCAATAAAGACCTTATGAAAATTTTTCAGCTTTACCAAACAAACAACACACAAGTTTTTTTGACCTCATCAAAAGAAATCACAAGTTCTCTTTTGCCTTACCAAAAAAGAACTTATGAAAATTTTTCAGCCTTACCAATGAAAAAGACCCAAATTTTTGTAACCTCATCAAAATAAATCACAAGTTTTTTGGGCCTTACCAAAAAAGAACTTAAAAAAGAACTTGTTAAAATTGTTTCAAGTTCATCTCAACTAGGTATTTTGGCCTGAAAATTGGCAAACAAATTGCAAATGAGGTCGTCAAACAAAGCAAATTCACTGATTTAAATACATAACAAAGTACAAATCATCATCAACCCAACCATCAATACCCAGAAGCAACCATACAGTCACGAGTAAATATATCTAAGACTACAGTTCCTTCCCACCTCTGGAACATGATCCTGTTATCTCAGAATATATTTCTCCGTAACTGCATGGTAGCTCCTGGTAATGAAGGTTGAATGATAGGACACATTTAAATCAAGAAAAGCACGTGGTTAACATAAAGAAAAAAAATTGCAAATAAGGGAAAAGAGAAAATTTAAGAAATTTATCTTTGAAAAAAAGGCAATTGGACCTGATTTGAAATGCCCTTCTGCTTTTTACATCCAATATCCACAAACTGCATATAACTTATGCATGGGTGCCCCCAAGAACAAGTCCCAAGTGGCATCCATGATACAATTGACTTTCTCATCAGGCCCGGATTGCATGAGGGCTTGGGTTTGTCGGAAGTATGATTTGAGAACACTGAATGCCTTCTCAATTGGGTTGAGATTGGGCAAATAAGGTGGGAGGTACAAGATCCGTATTCCTCTTTTGGCAGCAAGCGCTTCGATGCAACCCCCGTGGTGAATGCGTGCGTTGTCCATGACCAGGACTGAATTGGCTTGAGGGTAGGCATTCATCACCGGGAACTAGCACAAGAACTTATCAATATGGATTAATTGAGTCAGTATGTAAATAAACAAACTTACCAAGCGATGTTTGAGGAATCCCTCAAAGTCCTTGCAAAGGTAGCTTCCCTCTTTGCAGTCAAGCGCCAAAACTCCTCCTCAAAAGATAGCCGGGAGGAGAGAGAATCTTTTCCCACCTCGACTCCAGGGGATTCGGCTGGTATGTTTGCCTTGTCTGGCCCGGCCATACTGCCATCCAAGATAACGTTCCTGAAGCAAACATTCATCTTGAGGAACAAACATCTCATAAGAAAATCAGTGATTCACGATTTTTATTGAAAACAATAGAAATGAGAAATGTTAAGAAATCAAAATGAAAAAAAGAGAAAAGACAAACCAAGAGAAACTCACCTAAGAATACAAGCATGTCAGGAGTTAAAGCTCCAACTGCATGTAAGAATCGAGCTTGTTTGTGGGGACTCTGATTGGGGTGAACGGTACAAGCTTTTTTGAGGGTGAGGTGGAGTCAATCCTTGAGATCGCTTGCCCCTGTTGTTAAACCAACCCAGGTTCCCGTGCGGCGATAGATGGTGTGGCAATACTCATCCAAATAAATGGCTGGGTTACCTTCGAGTAGCTCGAGCATAAAATCACGGTCCTCATCGGTCAAAACAGTGTTTCTGCCGAGACGCTTGTATTTGCCACATGGCAAACGACTGATCAGGTTTGTTGATATAAGGCAAGCCATCGGAATATGGTACGGGTACTGACAGGTGACTTCAATATGCACCGGACTTGTTCTACTGATTTGCCTGCGCAGAGGTACTGCACAGCGAGAACCTTAATTCCAGTGTCGTATTTGGTTGGTCGGTGTCGCATGTCTAGAAGTTGAACATATCAGATCATGAGTTGGAATAACCAAATGCAGGTGATAGATAGAGTGAAAAAAGAAGTGATGGAAGGACAAACCAAGGGATGATCCAGAGGTGCGATGTGCTGATTTTGGTGGTGAAAATTTCTTTCCAATTTCCACGTGGATCGGAATCTGATGAAGGATGTGGCCCAATTGGACCTCGGGGTTGACCCCATCCATTCCCTGTGCAGCTTTGCTGCGCTGCGCGGCACCTGTATTCGGGGGGGCGGAAAACCAAAACAAAAAAGCAAAGATGACAATAATTTGCGAAATAGCTGTACAATAAGAAAACCCAACTAACAAAAAAAGGGTGGGTGGGTGGCAAACAAAAAGTTGTAACTAGATAAAGCGCACAAAAGTTTGTTGATGAGACTATGGATGAATGTATTGAATGTTGCAATCAACTAGAGCGCACAAGTGATAATACGGAAAGGGTAAGCATTTTAGTATTTCATGAGACAAACATAATAAGCAGCATAAAGAAAAGAAAAGGAGAAACAAAGATAAGAAAAACCTACCTAGAGCGCACGAGTGATAATACGGAAAGGGTTAGGAGAATTCCCTTTCCTGGTGCGGCTCTAGGCAAGCTATATACAAGGTTTGTTACATAATTCTTATGTAAGAGACAACTACAAGTGAGACAAGAAACAAACTAGTAGATAGCGGATCAAATGATCTGATGAGAGAAACCGAGAAAGATCAACACATGATCAGTGTGAGCTGGGAAGATAAGCACACTAGTAGATATCTAAGGAATACTATGATGGTAACACAATGTTGATGAGAGTATTCCAACATCGAAATGGTAATGAGGAAAGAAATGGAACAAAAGGTTTTTGTGAAGAAAGATGATTTGAAGTAAACAAAAATCATATGTAATCTAAAAAACCGTTACACTTTGCTTCTTTACCATTTGACACACAAAGAACAAAGTAGAAGGAAAGAACAATATTGAAATTCTAGTTTCTGGATTTCACAACTACCTAAGCCTTAACATATTCCCCTCGGTTAAAACACGTCCCAACCACAAACACTGCGCCAGAGAGAGGTCCTATCACTGGTAAAGCGGGTATAGGGCAAGTCTCTGATATCAAGCCGTCACCCGGAACCAACAATCCAATGGATATCCGTCGGAGCAACTGTCGGAACCGGGTCACGGATGTGACCCTAGGACTATCCGGTGGCCGGATAGACCGGTCGGTCCGGTAGTCGGATGTAAGGGAAAGAAAAATTGATCTCAGCCGGATATCCGGCGGATATCTGGAAAAATGGCAGGCGTGTATTTATTTCAAATCATCGGTAAAAAGATAAAGAAAATTTGTAAAAAAACAAGAGGGGCAACAACAAATCTTCAATCAAGTACTATTTTCATCACCATCAAGCTCAATAAGTGTAGAAATTTTCACAAAAATATCAATAAGGTCTGAGTTAGAGAACTTCGGACAATCGAAAAAGAATCAAAGCCCAAAATGGCCTCGGGACGGCCCAAGAACTACCCGGGTAGCGCCGGTTTTGGGTTTGATCCCCAGCTAGGAGGACTTTTTGACCAGAGCGCCGGATATCCGGCTCGGTTATCAAATTCAGATTTTTTCAAAAAAAAACCGGACGGTTATTACTACCTTTGCTAAAAAGCTTGCCCGGTTCAATCGCGAACAAGAGACAAGAGAGGTCGAATTTGGCCGCAGCCTGCTGCGAGGCCGCTGCGCAACTCGTCAAGATCCCAAATTTGGCCGATCGCAAATTCTGAAAGAGATCGACTTCACCTGTGGATCTCTGACTTTGGGATATGTTGAGATCTATCATAAAGCACAAATATCTACCTCATCATGATGAATTCATGCTCACACTTCTATGCGACTTCTATCGCGCTGCGGGTGCTACAAAGATTTGCTTTAATCAAGACTACAGAAAGTGATCTTAGTCGAACGGCTTGATGTGGCGTGAGCCGCCAACGTTAGTGGTCTTGCCAGCATGGGATCAAGGCCAATTGCGTGAACTTTTTTGCTAAAATTTCGAAATTAATTCAAGGCATCTTGGACATGTGTCAGTATCCTATGGTGACCTCATTTGAGCTCTTGACTGAGCACGAAGAACAAAAGATTTTCAAAAAAAGGTGTTGTCCTTTTTGACTTGTACTTTTTTATCTCATGAAGCCAAAACAAAAAAGCACAAAAGTCCATAAAGGCTTGAACACACTACTACCGATTGAATCGAGAGCGTGATCACACTGCGTGAAAAACCCTGTCGGAACCGGCCCCGCGACAGCCTGTCGCCCGGCATATGTATATATTTACATAGCCAGCGACAGATACACTTTTGGCCAGCGACACTTCAAGTTTTTGTGCGACAGTTGGTTCGGTTTTGCGACATCTCATCCCTGTTCAGCTCATAGGTCGGTGCTGCGACACCTTTGCCCTTTAACCGATCTTGACTTTGATTGTCCAGCTTATTAGATATCACAACTCACCTCAATTTGCGATCTCATTTCACCACGTCCGACTTTGGATTCCACCTCGTAGCCGATCCATCTCCATCTTTCAATGGGAGATCCGCCGAGTAAGTACCTTTGTCATCTACGCTGATTTTAGGATCAATATCACTCATTGACCTCTTTGATTTCTCCCAGAAATCATTTGCACCTGCTTGCAATGTGTGATCAAAACATGCACGGGTCCAGATGGAAAAACCATACAAGGCCAATTTCAGTCACGTAGAACTCAACTGAGTCATCATCAACGCGATATCAGACTACCTCAATTACCTCATCTACCCCAAGCTTCACACTTGACTTCTGCAAGAGACAATAACGATAGCGACTCAGATTCAGTAACATCACAAGCCGACTCAGATTATCATCATAATGACTCAACGCCTACTGGTAAGCTAACTCACTTGATCAGAAACCAGGTTACTCAAGCTAATCCCTCAATTGCCATCAGTCATAACCCTCATTTCGATATTTCTCGCTTGGCTTCATCTTTTCTGCGGACTTAGTCACATCAACTGTCAAAAAGCCCGAAGGTTTGTCTTGCGTATAACAGACATTGTACAGTCCGAAAGCAAAACGAAGGAGCGAAATGATTACACTCGTGTCCCCAAGGATATCCGTACGATACTCAAACGACTAGCCATCATACCTGAATTAAATGAACAAATCTGTTGTCCTGCATGTTTCTCTTTGTATACCCCGGCCGAAGCACCTCAAACATGCACCTACCGGAAATCACCAAAGGCTCTGGATTGCGGTGAAGAACTGTTCACCATCAAGACAATGTATCAATCAATACGTGATACAGGAAAAAGTTCAAACATGAAGCCCAGTCACGTGCTCACCCTGCCACCTTGCGAGATAGGGATTCCTCGAAATGTATACGTCACCCAGAGTCTGTCATCTTGGCTTCAGTGGTTTCTCAGCCAAAATTCAATCGAGGATGACATGGCGAAATGGTCAGACGAACTCAATCAGTCAGTAGGTCCGAAGGTGAATGATATTCAACGCTCAGCAGCATGGGCCAACATCTGTTGGCCTTCTGAACCGCAACACGATGATTCAACTCCGGCACTCAACCTCGTCGTATCCCTATTCATTGATTGGTTCAACCCCCGTGGGAACAAGACTAGTGGAAGTCAGCAATCAATGGGAGTTTTGGCCTACAACTGTCTAAACTTGAGACCGTCTCTACGCAACTTAACTCGAAACACTTGCGTTACTGGAATCACACCCGGCCCAAATGCTCCTGACGTGGATACAATATCTCATATACTGAAAGGCATTGTTGACGAATTGCTCATCCTCGAACCGGGCATCAAAATTGCGACAAGCAAGTATCCTGAGGGTAGATTAGTACGAGTCAAATTACTTTGTACTTTAGGGGACTTGGTGGGGATGCATAAAGTTTGCGGTTTTGCATCACATTCAGCAACATTCTACTGCTCATGGTGCTGGGCAAAAGACTTAGAGAGAGAATTGATGAAGTTATCACAAACAAGGCTCAAGAAAGAGGTTGAAGAAATATCATATCGTTCTAAGGCACAGGCTACTATTAGTGGAAAGGACAGCATCTTACGTGAAACCGGTGTTCGCTGGTCCGAATTGAACCGTTTAGCTTATCGAGATCCGGTCAAGCATCTACCCCTTGGTATGATGCACAACTGGTTTGAAGGCGTTTTGCATCAACATTTCCGGTTTCGATGGGGGTTTGTGATATATAATACAAGTCAAAAGAAAGAACAGAAGAGGAACAAGAGGGCAAAGGATGGTGATGAAGATAGAAGTCGGCCTAAGAAACGAGTCATGTATGAGCAAGGTGGTGGTAACGTATATGACGAAGCCGAGAATGATGACGACAATGATATTGATGACGTAGAGTTGGACGCGGGATTGAAGGGGGGGTTATTATCATTATCTGACATTAAATTGTTCCAAAGTCGAATGCGCGATGTGGTAATCCCTACTGGTATCACTCGACTACCGTTGAACCTTGGAGAAACAAAACACGGCAAGTTGAAGGCTGCACAATGGCACAGCCTTTTTGCATATGTTATTCCGCTCATTATCCTTGAACTCTATGTGGACGACCCACAAGACATTCCGATGGACTCAAACAAACGAAACATCATCGTCAACATCGGTTATTTAACACAGTGCACCAACATTGTCTGTGCAAAGAGCGTCTCAGACGCTGATGCAAACCACTTCGAATCGCTTTACAAGAAATATACGTTGTCATCAAAAAAAATTTTTCATAACCTGATCATCAAACCGAATCATCACTATGCCCTTCATATACCCGAGCAGATCAGGATGTGGGGCCCTCTTGGCCAAGTGGCAGAATTTGCCGGAGAGCGTTTGATTGGAGTTTTACAGAACGTGCAGACAAACATGCACTTACGTGAGTAATTCCATTACATACCTTTACTGCTTAGTTTTGGCTCACATATGGTATCTATGTCTCAGGAGAAATGGATCGCACAATGATGCGCCGGTTCTGTCAGCTTCAAAGGCTGATGGCAGACCATCCTATAGTTGAAGATATCTCACTCGGAGATGATCCAGGACCACTCAATAGCCGTTCACAAGAAAAAAAAAACAGGATCGAGCTTGATGACGAGGAGTATGAGGCTTTGCTATCTTATGTTCAAATTAAGAGTCCTGATGCCAGAGATCATCGGAAGCTCCCTCATCCTCCAAATGCCAAAGTGTTTCAACCCTACGTAGCTCCGACAAAGACTTGGAAAGTATCTGATCGTGTCTCTGTATCGGTGCTGAAACCTAACAACTGCATTGAATTCAAACAACATGGAAAAGTGCAGTATGGTTTTGTCAGGCAAATCTATCACTTTGCAACACCCGAAGGTAAATGGAATACCGTTTTCTTAGTTAATCCAATCAACAATTTGTTTCCCAAAGATCTTGATTCAACTTCAAAAGACTTTCGCTATATACTCTTTCTCCTCAAAGCTGTGGTTGGCATAGTCGAAGAGGAGTTTACATACTTATCACCTCAATCAGTTTCTTGTGTGGCGGCTTATCGTCTTTTACCTCCTCACACGTTTGGTATTGCAGAAGCTGGGATCATTTTAAGACCTAGTGATTACAATTCTCAATTATCCATATAGTTATCACAGAAATTTTGTCTCTTTTCAAATGTGCTTGACGGATCTATTTTTGTACTTAGACTTGTCCTAAAACGAGCGTATTGTATAACGGAAGAAAAACACATGTTTTATCTCCAAAGCCAAACATTGTTTCTGAGTATTGATATAAAGATGGTTGTTGCATGAATCAAAGTGCAACTGATGTAACCGTTTTGTACGACTTTTGTGAAATACCGCTGTTGTCCAACAGTGGCAGCTGATCACTTGTGTTGCTCACATGAACCTCACAGGCAATTGCCGCGTCTGATATTTTCCAGCCTAAAGTTATTTAATTCATTTCACGCCGAAAAAACATTGACCATCATTTCATTATCTACAGCATAGAGCAGAAAGAAAGAAAAAACACCACAATGACCATGAGTATCTACAGCATATAACAGAAAGAATGATCAAAGCAACCATAACACAATCAAGACACACGGACTAGGCCTAACACATACAAGTGGTCATTGACTATTCACATTTGAGACCAATCACACAAAAACAGAAACAAGAAATAACTTCACCATATGGGGACAGATCAAACATGAAAAAAGCAAGAAACAATAAAAGATGTTTAATCGTCTTTTTCAATCTCCACCGTGGCTTTACCTTTCCCCTTTCCTTTTCCCGAATCATCCACCTCCTCTTCATCGTACAAGTCCCCATACTCACCATCTGAGTAAAATTCAGAAGACTCATCATCTTCGGGTGGAGCATCAATATCTATTGCGTCTTCATCTTCGGATTCTTCTTCATCTTCGCTTTCAGCATCTACATGGTCTTCATCATCCGAAAACTGGTAGGCGTCCTTGATGATATCCAAATACTTCGCCGTAAACCTGGAATCTGACAATAACTCGTCGGGGTGTGGAACCTTCATCAATGAACGACTGGCATCTGGAAGGAATGTAACTCGATCTCGTTTCCCAATTCTTCGTCTGCGACCAGCTGGAAGGCTTCGGTGCCACTTGGGGTCGTAAGAGTCAAAAGATAGGTCTTTGGGTGGTTTGTCGTTAAATATTGAGGGAACAGGCACCTTTGGCAGTCGGCGGACTCGCATGTTGCTTCCATAACCAGCTTGCTTCATCTCGTAATCCAGTCTTCGCATAAACTTGTTTGCATTTGGTGAGCGATAACCCAGTGTTTTGATGGTGAATGTGTTTGAACCATCTGGGTTCTCCTCGTCATCACTGTGCGCCGCCGTCGGAGCAACAAAGTCCTGATATCGTTTGCCATACTTGTGACGATTGTCATACAGATACTCTTGACGCTGATCTGCCAACTAGGGTGAAGAGGAATATCAGCAGACGGAAATAGTAGGTTCAAAATATATTGAGGTTTAAACTTACTCGTTCGCGGTTTTTTTGGATGGTCTTCCTGCTGCTGAGTTGAGCTTTGCGACCGGGGGTTTTGCTTTCAGCTCGGAACTCGCCAGCTTTGAGAAAGTGGACGTAATGATTGTAAGCAGCAATCATGTCGGACATTGAGTTGACGTGTTTCATATTTGCATTCATGTAGTTGTAAGAGCCGCAAGATAAGAGTTGGCGAAAAGTATCCAATGCAACCATTCGACAAGCGTTGTTGTAAAGTGAGTCGTATGCATCATTGAGGTCCGGAGCCCAAATACGAATTCCCACTCGCGCCAAGACACCGTGAATGTAAAGTAGTTGCATGTTGCTGATGTTTGCAAGTCCACGGCCTAGCTTGATCTGACCTTCCTTTGCACTCCTTAATGTCATGATACTACCCTGTGCAACCACATCGGCAGAGGTGGGGTTCTTGATGGCGTGGTCGATTTCGTCTGAGTTCGAAAATCGTAAATAGAACTCCTTCAACAGAGCGGGGTTGGGAGGAGGTGGAACATCATTCTTCTTAAATAATCCCCACATCATTTTGATGTGAATATAGAGCGCTTCCTAGAATGATAAGATCAAGTCAGTGAGAGGTTAATTGAATGAGTGCAACAAAATTTCTTACCTTGGTACTCTTGAAATCAGACGCCAGCTCGCTTGAAAACACTTGAAGAACGTGACGTTTTCGCGGGGCTTCGGGTGATTTCTTCGTCTTTTGATTTGACTTGGGAGTAGATTTTGAAGTAGACTTCGGAGTGGACTTCGAGGTCTTGGTGGCACTAGTTGATTGGCGGGGAGCAGTTCTAGACGTAGATGGTGTGGTGTAGGGGTTGGTTGAGGAGCTTGACTGCCGGTTCTTGTCCTTCTTGGCTGAGGTTCCAACACTTAAATTGACAATTTGAGTTTGAAGTCCGCCAACGATGGCCTCGAATTGAGCAGCTTGTTGTTTGAGAGCGTCGGCAATGAGAGCACTGACAGAATCGGCAAGGGGGTTTGTAGCGGTGGCTGGAGGGATCGTAGACGTGACTGGAGTGGTCGTAGAGGTACCTTCGGACATCGGGATATCATCATCGGCCATGATTGATTGGAATTAAAAAACAAAGAGAAGAGGGAAGGGGTTAGGGTCGTCAATGTCGATGAAAACGGTATATGTATAGGTTTATGAAATGGGTATACAAGAGTGGAAAGAGTTCTAGAAAAGACGGGGGAAAACAAATGTATGATGAGCGGTGAGAAGACACCAGATCGTAGGGGTTTATATACGCAAGCAAGTAGGCTGGTGAGATCTTCAGACGGCTCGGGTATGACAAGACCCTTTGAGATTGACCGCTCATGTGACGAGCTTCCCCTTCAGGAAAATTTGCCATTGTGCTGTGAGAAAATAAATGAAAAC